CACTGGGGGGTCTGTTGGTGTGGAGGGTGAGCGCCAGGAGGGAACATGCCTGAGGGGGGCTTCAGTCAGGTGGCCGGGCGTCTGGGACCTTCTCCGGGACCTCATCGTACTGGGGCGGGGGAGTCAAAGGTTCTATGGAGGGAGGAAGCACATTTTTGTCCGGGAGGTTGATCCTGAAGTCTTTGAGGTGGAGCTTTTCGGATTTAATCCTCCGAACTTTCAGCGGCTTTAGGCGTCTGGCCAGCTTGGAGTTCTGCCTGTCAGGCGGGCCCCCAGGGCTGGCCTCCGCCGCGGCCCTGGTGGTCGTGGGGCTCATCTGCTCGGGCCCTGTCAAGGACTCATAGGAGGGCAGAGAGATGCTCATCCTTGGGTTCTGGTCCAGGTCCTGGGCTTCCGAGTAGTTTGTGTTCATCACTTCCTCGTAACTGGGGACATAGTACCTTGATGAGGCCTCCTCCTCCTGGCTGCAAGACAGCAACAAATGCAGACACGGAGAGCGTGAGCATGTGCCAAGTCAGTAAAAGTCACAAAGGGACGGGCTCCAAACCCTGGGTGGGCACTGGCTCCACATACACCAGACTTGTCAACAACACACGGGTCCTCGAAGTAATAAAAGCTAACATTTCAACTGTGTTTGCTATGAGCTGGGGTCTCTTCCAGGTACTTTAACACATATGGACTAATTCCATCTTCCTAACAACACTCTGAGTCTGGTACAACTGCATACCCATTTTATGGATGCCAATCTGATATATGGAGGTTCCATGACTGGGTATACCTTAGGAAGCAGGAGGGCAGGAATTGGATGCCATAGTCTCAGTTACTATTCTGTGTTATCTGGGTGTTAATCCCCACCGCACCCTGGCCTTAACCTCACACTTAACCTCATGTAGGTGGGCAATTCCAGTGCCCACCCGGGTCCTCTGGTCAAAGGCAGCATAAATGTGCATGCCAATATGAAGTAAAATGGTTGTCCTCAGGTAGAGAAGGAATGTCTGAGTATAAAATGTATTTCAAGTTGTCCTGTAATTTTATCTTCCAAGTTCACGATAAGACTCAATGGACAGGTCAGGTTCTTAG